AAAGAAATGATGCTTTGCCCCCATTGATTTATGAAATTATTTAGCTGTTGGGAATTGACATAATCTTAATTTTGATCTGATATATATATACTGCAAAGCTTTGAATAATTTTAATCGGTGCAATGCACAACCGGTAGATATGTCAACAACTGCACTTCGTAAACGTAACCTGCCTGAATTTGGTGAGAAAACATTTTTAATTTTGACATTTTATTATTACAATGAAAGAAATAGAAAAGCGGAATTAAGAAAAGATATTTGTAAGCTATTAATTGGATATTTCAGAATCTATTGTGAGATAGTATATTTAAGTTAGAGAAAAATATAGAATAAATCTCTTAATTATGAACTGTTTAATTTGTATAATAACGCGTAATCAATTTGATATTACACATCTCTAAATTCGCTATCAAATTAATATTTATTTAACTCAATATAATAAATTTAAACTGGAATGACGAATTTTAGAATCAGTAATTATAAATTCCCGTGAAGATTTCACAATAAAGAGTTCTGTACAATTTGTTTTTGCAGAATTAAAAATTGATTGAATACTAGTATTCCATGATGAATAGAAGAATTTTTTATAACACAGTTTGTGATCAGTTCAGAACTCTGCGATCCTTTATTGTCAATTGGGTTAAACTCTGTATTACAAATTCTGACACTGACTTAAGTGCTACGAATTCAAAGCTGGTTTATTTCAGATTTATTTCGTTATAACAAATTTGATATGTGTAATTACGAATTAACACAAATCGACATAATTTAACCCTTAATAACGAATTGGAATTGTCTTTTACAAAGTATTCATGTGTGTTTCAGGTTAAAGATAACATTCCAGTATTCTTTATTTACCAAATGAATTCTTCTTCAAACCGAATTAATATATCGTACATTTATAAGTTCTAGTCGCCATTGATAATCGATTTATTTTCAACTTTTTTTCTAAATTTTTCTTCTACACAGTACTATTTTATCAGTTATAATGATTTACTGCAATTGTCACTGGTATGATTTAAATACCCTTGTTTTTATTTTTTTATTTTCAGTGTATACCGGTAGAAGAGGTAGTGTTTATATGCAAATTCACATGCCTAATCGTCCTGACAGACCAGTTTTGAATAATGTAAACGGCAATGGTAAGCAATAATGCACAATACGTAATTTTTGTTGGTAAATATTATTGGTTAAAAATTATCAAATTTGAAATAAATGTGATGTTGAACCACGTATAAAGACATACTGTGTCGGTTTACTGTATTTTTTGTGTTCCTCAATCTTTAGTTTTCAGTGTAGTAATTTAGTTGTTCGTCTGTTGGTATTTATATGGCGATGGTGTTGTCAATCTTTCTGTCGACTAATGGTCTTGATTGCTCCCTTAGTAACCCAAGCCTACCAAGCCGATGGGTAGGAAACATACAGTGTTACTTATCAAAACGTTATGATATATCTATCTAATAATGGTATCAGACTCGCTTAAAACTTTATGTTATTGTATTTTTAAAAAGAATTTTCAATTTGAAAAATATTTTTCTTCTTTGCCTTACAAATTTATTCATACATTTTGCAAATATAGATGTGGAAGTCACCACTTGCCGATTGAGTCTGGAAGGTGGCAGGGTTTACCGAGAGAAGACAGAATCTGCCGTCTCTGTGACTCAAGCGACATTGGTGACGAGTACCATTACATTATGAATTGTGGAACATTTAAGTTGGAAAGAAAGAAATTTTTACCGAAATACTGTTTGTCAAACCCTAACATCTATAAATTTGATCAACTGTTTAACTCATCAAATATTGTAATATTAGAAAAACTATGTAAATTTATCAAAGTTATAAATGTGAAAGTCAGTCCTCCAAGTTAATTGCATTGTATTGTTCACACATGCATGTAAAAATTGTACCTTATAGTTATATTTATGTATGTTCTCTATAACTATGTAATTGTAGTTTTATGAGAACAAAATTCCTCACTTTGTTTAGATCAGATTAAAACAGCCGACAAAATAATTTTATTGTAAGAAATTTCTGATGCTCCACGAAAGGTAAAGTGAAATTTTTCATGTATGCACGTATACTTGAAAGTTGTGATTAAATGCCATATTCATTAGTGCAAAATATTACGTAAAAAGTAAATAGGCCATAAAACGCTCCAGTCTTGTGGAAAATACAAGCTCTTAAAGCTTTGAAGTACTAGTATACAGAGAAAATTGAAAGTTCCAATACCGTCCGGCAATGTTGAAAGACAAGTTCAGATCCTTTTACTCCTTTTAGTTATAGATCTACTTTTTTACTCATCATTGGCTTTCAGGCTTCATATGTCCGAGTTTTAAATGAGGTCACAAAGCATATCAATTACATTCAACTGTGTGTTAAATGCACTTGAATGGTTTTCATTTTGTAAAGAAAGACCAATTATGGGACTAAATAACATTCCTGGTTAATGACTTTCTTGGAATACTTCTTTGATTGTAGGTAGAAGGCAAGGTTCCACTGCATCGCGGCGTAGAGTTGTAATGTTATCAACTAAACCACCCTTACTAATATGAGATGTCCGAGAACTGCTTCTGTCATTGAAGAGTGGCAGGATTGTAATGTTAGCGGTCAGTTGGTTCTGACCTTTTTTATCACCTTATATATCATTGTCAAGCAAACTGATCAAGACCTTTTGGCCCATTAGCTTAACTTGTTTGGATTGATAGACTAATAACAAAATATTCGACTTCTAAAAGGTTTGTCTGTCATATTTGTTTACATTATAAATCAGTAAATAAGAAATCATTAACACATCAAAATTAAAATGGTAAGTAAATTGTCAATGTTCAAAGTGCCGATATCATAATAGTCCAAAATCAATATTGAAAAAGCGCAAATATCTCAATTTTTAATTTTGAAAAACAAACAAAAAGACACGCTGATTTTAAAGGTCTTGCTTCAGACGCATTACTTTAGTGTCGCATTCCTTACCAGTTATTTCAACGACGTTTACCACACATCACTCTCAAATGAAGTTTCCAACTCTGTCAGAAAAATTGAGCTCCGATGTATTTATGTATCCTCAGCTTTCTTAAATGTTTACTTCAGTAAATCATTATTTCATACAGTACAATTTCCATTGAATTAGAACGGAAGCCCATATAGGACCTCCAAAATTATATTTTGAATTCGAAATCACGAATTTTATTCGTATTAACGAATTACAATTCATGATAAAAAATTATACAATTTGTTCCGTGTTAACGAATTACAATTCATGATAACAAATTATGCAATTTGTTCCTTGTTAACGAATTACAATTCATGATAACAAAAATATGCAATTTGTGATTACAATTTTATTCCATGATCACGAATTGTTAAATTCGTAAAAATGAATTTAATCCGTGATCACGAATTACAACAATCTGTGATTACCAAGACCTCAAATTCGTTAACACAGTGATAACGAATCTGTCCAATTAGTTATCACTTTTACTTTTACAAATTGTGACTTGGATGAAGAGTTGTCTCATTGGCACTCATACCACTTCTTATATCTATCACATATTTTTGTAATTTATGATCACGGATTAAATCCGTCATCTGATCACGAATTCTCAAATTTGTGATAACGAATTCAATTTGTTATAACAAATTATAAAAATCTGTGATAACGAAATAAATCGGTGATCCTGAATTATAAATATATGTACTAACTAATTCCATAGATTCGCCATCACGAATTAAATTCGTGATTAGGAATTAAAATTGTTGATAATGAATTTTACATTTCACAATAATGATTTTAATCCGTGATCACGATTTTTCAAATTCATGATCTCGAAATCAAATTACATTTTTGGGAGGTCTTAAATGCGCTTCAATATAGTACCTTCGGTATCACCGATGTCATGCAATGGTTGGTACTGTCATGTTCATTGTTGTAAGCCCAGGAGCAATCGAAATTATTTTTCTTTGGAGTTTATAACTATTTAGCTATAGACGTATTTAAAAATACTAGTAAATCATAATATTACGTGTAAAAAAAAAGAAAAATAGTAAGATGACAGGATAGGAAAACCCCCAAAGAAACGGGGTTTAAATAGATTAGTTTAGTCACTGGGGTGGCATTTTTCTTAGGATATACACCTTACCGCTATTTGTCCAACATTACTGGATATCACAAAGGTTCTCAAAAAATGTGACGTCGCTTAAGAAAATGTATGATGTCACAAAGAAAAAGTGATTGTTGTATGACGTCAACAGTTCAATTGTTGCAAATGCTCAGATCAAGTGTCGCAGATTCCCAAATAGCGATAAGGTCTATTGTTGCTGCTGTTTTAGAATCGCAGTAGAAGTTTAGAAAGAACTGTAGACACCTGTCTTTATGTTTATTTGTAGATGTATTTTGTTGAAGACTGTACGTTGATTTGTATAGAGATTTCTGTTGTAAAAGTTTGTATCCCTATTAGCAGGATTATGGGTTCCAAAATTATTTACGAGATTTCAATTAATCAATGGATTATCATATGCAGAAAAGTTCAGTTCTTTTTATCCAATGTTTTGCCTTCGTATCTGGTCTTTATTTCAAAAACATATGAATTTTATTGATATCTTATGATTTCTTTACCGTTAATGTGGATTGAAGTGGGAAAAGGCATCAAAGAATTGATTTAGATCGTATTGATCACAGTCTTGTAACGAAAAATACTTTTCTGTCATCATTTCAGTCATATTTTTATAAACAATATTATCTTTTCCGCATTTAAAGCAACGTTAAGTATCGTTAAAACGTTAAGTATTCGCTTATCCGCATCAAACCATGGTAAAACGTTGCGCAACTCCATACAAATCGATTTGACGGATACATTTAAAAGATCTTAAGTCCAATATGTATTACAGTACTTGTCAATACATATAATCTATGTGGGCAATCGGCCTGCACATTATACAATATATATTTATGTGTGAGGATTTGTCGTATTAAATTGCATCATTAGGAAATAAATCATTATCACCTTTACTTACACTAATACCTGCAGAATCAGTAGTTGGAACTCATTTTAACAGTACAAATACGTATGTATTTTACACAGCCTTTGTATAAAATGTGATATTTTTGGAAAATGAACGAAGAACAGGCATCATGTGGGCCTGCAGATAGTATATCTGAAAGTGGTGAGGATAAACTAAAAGGAAAGGTTAGACATAGTGCTAAATTTGATATCTCAGAAAACGAGGAATTTAATGACATGCCGAGAGAGCGTGGCAAACGAGAAAGCAAAATTAGCGTTTCTGATATCACAGTTGAAAGGCAACGTAGGCAAAGTATAGCAGCAAACATAAAATTTCGAATCGTTAATCCAGTAAGAAGATTATCTAGAAGCGTACAAGAAACTTTGCATACGTATGCTTCAAAGCGGAGAGGTAAGAGAGCCGCTTTAAGAAACTATTAGAACTTATATTTTATTTAAAACTAGTATTTTCAAAATGGAATATTTAAATGGAATTTTAGATACAATATTTTGTATAAGCTTTACAAATATTGGTTTCCCATTTTTCGAAAACGATTCCTTCTAATTTATTTTTATTTTAAAACAGCAAGAAATTTTTTCCTTTAGGTAAAAACAGTTTCTTGTCGAATCAATTTGCAGAACCATGACAAGCACTACTTGTAACATGTCAAAATATATGAGACCAAACAAAAATTAAACGTATCAAAATCTAATTCTTTTTTGGTGTACTAGATGTTTCTAAATCCAGGATAAAACATATTTATTTTACTTAGTGTGGATCTAAAAATTGCTAATTTTTCAAACTTCAGTTGCTTAATCTAAAAACATCAGTTTTCCTTTAAAGAAAAATTGATCTTGATAAAACCTTAATGTATCACAATAATCGTTCGGTTATTTGTCACAATCACATGTTACTCAAATCAGTAAAGACTTAATAATTCATTTGAGAAAGAAGCATGACGAAAACAGCTGTAAGACCTTAAAACGGTAATTTCGATTTGCAGTTTACATAGTTAATGTATATCGAACGATCCGGCACCGTTTACCTCAGGAACACTCTTATCTTACAAGTTTTTTTGTAGATTTCATAATTAATTTCCCCACTGTTAGTGTGCGCACACATTTTTTGCTCCGTGTCATATTTGTATAAAAAAATTAGTAAAATTCTTTATGAAGTAAACCATTTTATACGTCTTTTTTGCACTAAAATGCATGTTTGGAACTGTTGGATCCAATAAAATATATAAAAATAAAGAGATGTGGTATGATTGCCAATGAGACAACTATTCATTAAGACCTAAGGACAAAGATATCTGATCATGTATAGTTCCGCAGTCACCGTTGCTTTGATAACCCCTGTACGCTGCAGTGTGGTACCACGCCAGTCGGTCTGTGCTTAAACGATCTGTGAGGTGTCTGTTTTGCTGTGAGAGATGTAGCAATCCACAGTCATTTCCGGTCTGAACTGCAATACACGTTACAAGTTCTCCATTTATATATAATCCGGCTGGCCACTTTATTACTGGTGACCTTAACATTGTCAATAACACTTCTCTGCGAAATGTGTTATCCAAAGGCCCGAAATATTGTGAGCTTAAATCCATCAATTGGAAACACAACTTCAAAATACTGATAGATTCAGTCGAGGATTATGCCAGGTAATGAGCGAAACGCGAGAAAGAAGTCGTAGATACTCTTTCCGAATGAATTAAGGCTGTGAATATAAAAAAGAAGATGTGGTATGATTGCCAATGAGACAACTCTCCACAAGAGACCAAATGACACAGAAATTAACAAGCTATAGGTCACCGTACGGCCTTCAACAATGAGCAAAGCCCATATGAGGTCGTTAATACAAATCAGAATTAAGAAACTGAATGGGTCTATTAATACCAATACTACATCAATCTTTAAAGACCCAAATATTGCTAAACACTTGTCTTACCTCCATGACAAATATGTTGTTGTCCCCGCAGATAAAGCCCCAAACAACATCGTTTTTGTTTGTAAATCACATTACATAAACTGTTTGATAAATGTATTAGGCATTGACAATTCACTTGGAAACTCAACATATACCCCCACGACACTTACTAAAGAAGAAATCCTGGATAATCATAGGTCTGTTCTATGTTCCTTTGGAATTTCAACCAAAGATGAAGAACTGGATCTTCCATCACTATATTGGATACATAAACTACATAAATGTCCTTACAAACAACGGTATATTGCTGGGTCTTCCAAGTGCTCCACGAAACCTTTTTCTAAATTATAACATCAATTTATCAGCAATCAAAGCCGGGCTTCAAAGTTATTGTGAAACTACCTATTCTAGAGGTGGCGTGAATCCGATGTGGATACTAAAAAATTCCAAAGATCTTTTAGAGTACATACAATCTAAGACTCTTTCATTTTGCAATAGTATCAACAAATTTGACTGTTCTACACTTTACACAAGTATTCCCCATTCCAAACTAAAAGACAAATTGAAAGAGTTGGTCCTACTTTGTTTCATAAAAAAAGAATGGCCAACGTAGATACAAGTATCTTGTCTTAGGGAGGGATAAATCCTACTTTGCAAAAAATCACTCTGATTCTAACAATCAATTCTCTGAAACTGACATTATCAAGATGCTTGATTTCTTGATTGACAACATATTTGTTACGTTTGGAGGACGTGTTTTTCAACAAACAATTGGCATTACCATGGGAACCAACTGTGCCCCTCTTCTTGCCGACTTGTTCCTTTATTCATATGAGGCTGACTTCATACATGAATTTCTTAGGAAGAAAGAAAAGAAGTTAGCAGTATCCTTTAACTTTACTTTCCGCTACATAGATGATGTTCTCTCACTAAATAATTCAAATTTGGTGACTATATTGAACGCATCTATCCCATCGAACTTGAGATAAAGAATACAACAGATACACTTAAGTCTGCCTCATATCTTGACTTTTATCTAGAAATTGACAATGAGGGTCGGTTGAAAAAAAAAGCTTTATGACAAAAGAGATGATTTCAGCTTCCTAATTATGAACTTTCCATTTTTATGTAGCAACATTCCAGCAGCGCCTGCATACGGAGTATATATCTCCCAGTTGATACGATACTCCAGGGCTTGTATTTCCTATCATGATTTCCTTGATAGAGTGTTGCTGCTCTCAAGGAAGCTATTAAACCAAGAGTTCCAAGTGGTGAATTTGAAATCGTCCCTCCGTAAATTTTACGGACGCCATCACGAGTTGGTTGACCGTTACGGAATATCCGTTTCACAGATGATAGCGGATATGTTCCTAATGTCGTAACTACAATCCCGTCTCCTTTTCCCGAATGTGACCTACCGAATTAGACTTTTTACCGGGTTTGTACTAACATGAGCAACACGACGGGTACCACATGTAGAGCAGGATCTGCTTACCCTTCCGGAGCACCCGAGATCACCCCCAGTTTTTGGTGTTGCTCAGTCTTTAGTTTTCTATGTTGTGTTTTGTGTACTATTGTTTGTTTGTTGGTCTTTTTCTTTAGCCCTGGCATTGTCAGTTTGCTTTCGACTTATGAAGTTGAATGTCCCTTCGGTATCATTCGCCTCTCTTTTACAAGAATGTCAACCTTTTCACACGTGATAATTCTAAAATGATAACGGAAACATGAAGTGGCACTTGAATAGGGGCGAGATACCCGTTTCCATCAACGTTCATCTGTTTCTAGGCTTCCTCGCGTTTCCGTCTAAGTTTTTCTTAAAGCTGCAATGAAATTTTCCGTAACTATTTATTACTGTTCTTTTTCTTTTTTCTTTTAGTTTTTCCCTGTCGAGATCCCTCACGCCCTTCTGGTCATTCACCCACAATTATTTTCCGCTTCAAATAAAATATTTAACATTATATTAAATAATATTTAAATGAAGGGCTTAACAGAAGTACATAAACCAAGAACAGCAAACCGTAATGCAAAAACAAAAAAACAGTCCAAGGTGCATGTAGTGGTGTTTTCTTGAGGCCATTGTATTATCTTTTTTACTGTTGCACACAACAAATAATTACATAAAAAAAGTGGGGAACGCAGGAGACATTTTGAATAAATATTCACGGGCTTTTCTATGCAAGCTTCTCATAGGATATAAATGGTTAACGTTCAATGCAGCTGTTTGTTATGACGGAAATATAAAGATTATTGGGGTTATTTGGTATATTGAAAGTCTGCTGGATTAACACTTAGTAATACATATTATTTTTGTAAACAAATATTACTGCTGAGACATTGTGAAGCTTATGATTTGTTTTGAACTGTAAGATTAATAAAATGAACTATAATCAAACTTTCATGTCTTGTTATGCTCCAAAAAGGGTACTAAAATATGTAAATGGTACATGTGATAGGCTATGAAAAGAAATTAATCGAGAGTAGAATTTTTAATGAATTCAAATTCGACAGAGCGGGCTTCATTGAAGCAACAAGCACGTAGACAATCTGCAATTTTGATTTGATTCAGGTGCATTGGAGAATTAAATGAGAATTCATGGTTAAAACATAAGAAGGAAACGAGGGACAAACACAAAACTATTCTGGTATTTCATTAAAGTTGTCAGTTTAGCTGAGCACAAATTGGAAGTTTTGAATCCAATCAATAACGTATTACTTGAAATCATAAATATGCTTTAATGTAAAAAAAAAAAAAAAAATTAAACTTAGTCTCTGCCGGTGCCGGTCGAAAAAAAAATAGTAATGAAGTAAATGTGTCAAACGGAAAATTAAAATTTCAAAAATCCCAAACAATACAAGATCGGGACTATCTCCCGAAATATGACGACTTCCACTCACATCATGTATAAACTAGAGTGTGCATACATAGATAATGTAAAGAAATGACGATTGAAATCAAAGTAATGTATATACATGATGTTTTCATGTGAGCCTTTTCTTAAGAAACATGTCAATTGTTTTATAAGACATTGTTTGGTACCCTTCCAATACTAGCATTTCGTAGAAGGAAAGTTTTCATCAACATTTATCACCAGACAATGTAAATGTATTATAGACATGTAGATACAGCAATATTAATCAGAGAATCGTTCTAAATCCTATATATCGTTATTACGTCCAGTCAGTACAATATTAATCAGGGAATCGTTCTAAGTCCTTATGTATCGTTATAACGTCAAGTCAGTACAATATTAATCAGAGAATCGTTCTAAATCCTTACATATCGTTATTACGTCAAGTCAGTACAGTATTGATCAGAGAATCGTTCTTAATCCTTATATATCGTTAAATATTACGTCAAGTCAGTACAATATTAATCAGAGAATCGTTCTAAATCCTTATATATCGTTATTACGCAAGTCAGTACAATGTTAATCAGAGAATCGTTCTAAATCCTTATATATCGTTATTACGTCAAGTCAGTACAATATTAATCAGAGAATCGATTTGAAAATCCTTATATATCGTTATTTCGTCAAGTCAGTACAATATTAATCAGAGAATCGTTCTAAATCCTTATGTATCGTTATTTCGTAAAGTCAGTACAATATTAATCAGAGAATCGTTCTAAATCCTTATATATCGTTATTACGTCAAGTCAGTACAGTATTGATCAGAGAATCGTTCTAAATCCTTATATATCGTTATTTCGTCAAGTCAGTACAATGTTAATCAGAGAATCGTTCTAAATCCTTATATATCGTTATTACGTCAAGTCAGTACACTATTAATCAGAGAATCGTTCTAAATCCTTATATATCGTTATTTCGTCAAGTCAGTACCATGATAATCAGAGAATCGTTCTAAATCCTTATATATCGTTATTACGTCAAGTCAGTACAATATTAATCAGAGAATCGTTCTAAATCCTTATATATCGTTATTTCGTCAAGTCAGTACAATGTTAATCAGAGAATCGTTCTAAATCCTTATATATCGTTATTACGTCAAGTCAGTACAATATTAATCAGAGAATCGTTCTAAATCCTTATATATCGTTATTACGTCAAGTCAGTACACTAGTATTGTCTTTGTACTGCAACTTAACAATTTTACCATTCGGGTCAAAGTGTGCTGCCGATTTAAAAATAGAAAGGAATAACAACAATATGCTAAATTTTGGAAGAAATAATTTTATGTCGATGACCACCTCGTGGAAGTGGGTACACTCTACAAAAGTATATGTTTAAAACACAATAATTACCAAAAATGTTGTGATGATACAGCTTCTCCTTTACCTTATTTTCTGTTGTAAGAGTAATTTAACCTCAAGTCCATAAAAATGTTTAATATTTGTAAATTTTGATACCACATTTCATACATAATGTTATATGACTTCTTATCTATTTTACTGTGCGTCGTGGTTTCGTTTACATACAAATAAATTTGGTTTTTAAGTATGTGGTAAAATATAGGATACCAAATACAGTTTGAAATTGTTCAAATTTTACTTATATATCAACGTTTGATGTTAAATATACAAATTCAAATTCCAACATGAACACAAATGGAACGAAACTTACGATTGTATTTATTTGTTTATCTAATTCATGTATCCTGTCACTTTTAACTGTAGCAATTATAACGCTATAAAACTATAGTAAATGTTGCCTTATTGGAAATATTTGTACGCCTCTTTTCTGCAACACTGGAAACCTGTTATTAACATTGACGATTATAGAATACAAATTGCTAAGTTTTTTAACGAAATGTATATTTCAAAGCGTTATTCGTGTACAAAGGTTTCTAATCTAATGCATTTATACTACACTCGCCTAGTAAAACTTTACCTTGAATATATAATCAGCCTTTTTATAAATGAAATCAGCAAAGAAAAAGTTGCATAATGTTTTTATCATTACGATTTTAAACCATCCGAAGGATTATCTTGAAAAAGTTCATTTTTAGCTTTCAGACATCACGACTATCCCGGAGTAAGCAATTATAATTTGTTTTGCCAAAGGTTTATTATAAATAGGTTACATTTGTGTTTTTATAATATAAACGTTTTTATCTGTAGAAATCGATGTGGTTTCAAATTAACTCTTAAGTACGTATGATAATCGGATATGATATACAAACATGCTTAATTTAACCCTACACAAGTAATTCTAATGTCATGAATTTCTATTACCAGTCGGCATAGCCTATATCTTCAGATTTCTATTTTCAGTCGACAAAGCCTATGTCTTCAGATTTCTATTTTCAGTCGACATAGCCTATGTCTTCGGATTTCTATTTTCAGTCGACATAGCCTATGTCTTCAGATTTCTATTTTCAGTCGGCATAGCCTATGTCTTCAGATTTCTATTTTCAGTCGACATAGCCTATATCTTCAGAATTTCATTTTCCTTGATGATATTCTTTACCCAATTGATTTAGTTTTTTTTCGTGGAAAAACTGTCTCCACTATTTCATTTGCTATAAGAAAAGTTTTTTGTCAAAATTTTCATATTCGGTAACACTTTTTTCATCCCAATTGCTACCAACTGTTACAATAGCTTTTGTCGGATTACATAAGTCATTGTCTCGACAGTACATCCTTTGTCACACAGATTTCCCTTTTCCGTCGCGTTAGCATTGTCTTCTATACTTCCATGTCCTGTCAGAATAGCCTTAATCCTCCAATATTTCCAAGTTCTTGAAACACATTTGCACATTTCTGATTTTGATCTCCAGCCTTTATAGCCATCGACCTCTAGATTTCCTGATTCTGTCAGGAAAGCCATTGTCTTCAATTTTTCTACCAATGAAGCTTTTTGGTCCGGATTTTATAGCCTTTGTTTTCCAAATGAGTATGATCTATCGGAATCTTGTCTTCTAAGTTTTGATGTTCTGTCAATGTAGTATTTTTTTATATACTATCTACACTCTGTCGGTACTAACATATTATGCCATACAATGAGACAACTTGTTAGCTTTTAATTATTTAAATTGATTCATTTTTTAGGAAGCACCTTACACGACCAACCTTTTGAATATAATCCTACGGACTGGGTCCAGAGAATAATCAACAATAATAAAAGAGGTGTTTCGCATAAAGCTCACAGCGTCTTCTGTGAATTAGACGTCCTCCGGAAACATAATGAAAACTTTGAATGGAAGGAATCTGCAAGGTAAAAACAAAACTTTAAGACCAATTTGAATGGAAGGAGTTTTAGCAAGGTAAAACTAATATTTATACCAATTTGAATAGAAGGAATCGGCAAGTTCAAACTAAAAGTTTTAGACCAATTTGAAGGGAAGGAATCAGCAAGGTAAAACTAAACGTTTTAGACCAATTTGAATGGAAGGAGTTTTAGCAAGGTAAAACTAATATTTAGACCAATTTGAATAGAAGGAATCGGCAAGTTCAAACTAAAAGTTTTAGACCAATTTGAAGGGAAGGAATTAGTAAGGTAAAACTAAACGTTTTAGACCAATTTGAATTGAAGGAGTTTTAGCAAGGTAAAACTAAAATTTAGACCAATTTGAATAAAAAGAATCGGCATGTTCAAACCAAAAGTTTTAGACCAATCTGAAGGAAAGGAATAGTTAATAGGTAAACATTAATTTTTAGAACAATTTGAATGAGAGGAATCGACATGGTAAAACTAAAAGTTTAACTCCAATTTGAATGGAAGGAATCTACAAGGTAAGACTACTATGTTTAGAATGGAATGATTAGAATGTAAGACCAATTTGAAAGAAAGGGATCGGCAAGGTTAAATAAAGATTCCACCACTGTATCGAGTGTGATACGATATTTCTTCACTCATAACAGTTAAATTTTCAATTTTAAAACTCGAGGCTTGCCGAGCATCTTAAATATTTAAAATGTAACTATTGAGATTGGAGAAATATCGTATTGCAAAATTTGTTAGTAGAATCTTTCTCTAATGATTTTTAGACGATATGCAGAAAACAATCTTTCTTTTCCAAGATGTGTTCTTTGTATGTAACGTCATTACTCATCAGGCAAGGTCGCCTTTCAAGTTGTACGACATCACAATAAGAAATTCAAGGAAAGCAAGAAAATCTTGCGTTATAATTGAATTTTAACCAATGAAGAACTGAGATCAAACGTTGATTGATGCATTCCATTGCAAACCTCAACTTTACATGTTATTTAAAGCGTCATTTAAATGTTTGTCATGTTCATTCAACATTTTATCAATTAATTGCATTGTTATTATATTTTAGATTGATGATTGACTGATTGTTGATTTGATTAAAAAAAGTGAATGAACGGTTACATGTGTAACTATCTACATATATTTTAATAGATAAAGATTGCTGATTCTTAATTTCTAATAAGTTACCGTCACTGAGATGATTAGATGTAAAACTATTACCATATCTTTTCATTTGAAGCACTGTCTTGGCAGTTAAATGCATTTTGCATGTATTTACTGTTAATAAACACAATATTACCGTATAAAGGAATCTTTTTATCCATACACCATCATTTTGTTACCAAGTTTTACGTCTGTTTTATTTTGAAACAGATGGGTTAAATATGAAGAAAATTTGGAAGAAGGAGGAAAGCGCTGGTCCAAGCCTCATGTTGCCTCTTTGTCTATGCACTCGCTGTTTGAACTGCGATGTGCTTTCGTGGAAGGCGTTGTTTCACTAGACCATGATGCCCATTCGCTATCTAATGTCATAGGTAAGGTACTATTTACGCCAAGTAAAACTTACTCGTATTAAACGTTTTCCTACGTATCCTGTTTTGAAATCTCCCTAAAAATGCAGAACATAATTGTTTTTAAGATTTAATAAGCACTTTTGTAGTGAATCGAGACAAAATTGAAGGTCTTCTGAAGGGGAAAAAATAGCAAAATAAAAAAGAATTCCTACCTGCCTTTACTATTCCTCATAAGGAGGAAACTCGAATCCAGTTATGGTTAAAATATGCATTTTATTTGAATGAATTTATCTAACAGTTTAATCTCAAGTGCTAGTCATTGATGTCTTTGTACTATTCATGAAAGAAATATAATCATAGATGTGTGTCAGTCTAAACGAAAAGATTCAGTCACTTTGTACGTATTTAAAACAAAAATCCTATCTTCATATAAAGTAACTTTGTTTTCTTTTTATTTGAACTACAGACAAGCTCCTTGAAGAATGGCAGGATCAGAATGATATGGACACAAGGTTACGCCCACATCTTAGGGATATAATGTTGGCAGGACATAAACACAGCCATGTAAAGCGTTCTAAGGCGTCTAAAGGAAGCAGAACTCTGTCCGATATTTCTGATGAGAGATGTACGAAAAAAATTCATCTTATCTTTCAGTTTAATAATCTTTTTGAAAAACTTATTATTTATTAATATTTTCATGGAAACTAACGTCCGAATCATTAATAATTTACAGGGGCTATTTATATAGTTACACAGTTTGATGTGGAATGAACAACATGAAAATGCTAAATACACATACACAATTGAATCAATAGCTATGATTAATACATTTACTTTCTTACCATTCTATACAAGAAAGGATATTTGGATAAAGTTCAATTAGGCAGGAGGTCCAAAAAACAGACGTCCACAAAAAAGAAAAGACCTTATTATTTGAACAAATGAACGCTTACATTTGTTCCATAGCGTTCTGTGATTTGTATCTTAATCTATTAATCATATTTGCAGTGGAAGCAGAAAAAGGAGGTAATGGTTTCCACCTTTCATCTAGTGCAAGTCTTGCAAGTATGGATAGCTCTGGATTGCAGAGTGTTCCAAGTACACAAGATCTCTCAAGTGACCCAACTAGTCCCAGTTATAAGGTTAGATAAATTCTCTACTAGTACATCTATTCAAAACTATAAGTTGAAAACAGGAAATTTTCACATAGTATAGACAGTCATATAATGCTCTTGGAAAAACACAAATAATTATTTTCTTTATTCTTGCAATCCTTTCTATTGCACATTTATTTTTTCTCAGTGCAATCCTTACTATTGCACAATTATTTTTCTCTTGCAATCCTTACTATTGCACATTTATTTTTTCTCTTGCAAACCTTACTATTGCACATTTAATTTTTCTCTTGCAAACCTTTCTATTGCACATTTATTTTTTCTCTTGCAAACCTTACTATTGCACATTTATTTTTTCTCTTGCAAACCTTACTATTGCACATTTATTTTTTCTCTTGCAATCCTTACTATTGCACATTTATTTTTTCTCTTGCAATCCTTACTATTGCACAATTATTTTTCTCTTGCAATCCTTACTATTGCACATTTATTTTTCTCTTGCAATCCTTACTATTGCACAATTATTTTTCTCTTGCAATCCTTACTATTGCACATTTATTTTACTCTTGCAATCCTTACTATTGCACAATTATTTTTCTCTTGCAATCCTTACTATTGCACATTTATTTTACTCTTGCAATCCTTACTATTGCACATTTATTTTTCTCTTGCAATCCTTACTATTGCACATTTATTTTTTCTCTTACAATCCTTACTATTGCACATTTATTTTTTCTCTTACAATCCTTACTATTGCACATTTATTTTCTCATAACTCAAAGAACCAATACATCTACATTGCTTTAGAGACTTGAGAATATGTTGACACACTTGAATAAAGTTTAATTCTGCAAAATATTTTTAGCCCAATCTGAACTTTATGAGGAAGATTCCAAAAGATGCCGAGGCTGCTAATGTCATGGTTGGAGAAGTTGATGAGCTTGAGCAGAGATTGGTTGGGTTTATGAGGCTAAAAGAGCCACGTCTTCTTGGTGATGTAACAGAAGTAGCATTGCCGTCACGCTTCGTTTGTTTCATGTTCGGACCGAAAGGAAGCATGACCCAGCTAATGGAACTTGGAAGATGCATATCAACTATGATGGTTGACGAGGTGGGAATCCCTTTCTTATATTTCTTTTATTATGAATGATTTCAGTATTAAGTTCATGATTTTATTTTTCATAATCATGCCTCGTTTAAATGGTTTACTCCTTACAATTTGAACGAATCAGAAGCCAGTACAATGATACAGATAAAGAATTCGAAAACGATGGTTGCTTTTCATTTGAAAATTCCATTTGTGTAAATTGTATTTTAGACATTCCGTGAAAATAACATTAGTGAATATTGTATTTTAGACATTCCGTGAAAATAACATTAGTGAATATTGTATTTTAGACATTCCGTGAAATTCCATTTTGTATTCTAGATACTCCATCTGTGGATATAGAAATTCAGATATATTCCGTGAAAATTCCATCTCTGTACTATTGTATTGTAGATATTCCGAGAATTGGCTTACAAATGTCTAGAAAAAGAAGAGTTCTTGGCTGGTGTTGACGAGTTCATGGAACAAGTAACAGTTCTACCGCCTGGCGAATGGGATCCAAAAATTCGTCTGGAACCACCTTCAAAAGTTCCATCTCAGGTATAGTATACCCTTTTTTCATCTAGTTTTGTCATCACGTCTATTGGTATATGATTTCAGTTCTATTATATGATTAAACCCAAAAAGTTTTTTTTGTGTAATAATTATAAGTCTAAAGTTAAGATATATTTTCCGAATGTTTCTTATTGTTTTAAAAAATCGATTCATATTATTATGTAACGTATCAAATGAAAACATTACTTTGGATGAAACATGATTTTCAGTACTATATTTTTTCTTTTATAGAATTTTAGAAAGAATTCAATTAATCCGTACCTTGGGAAACTTTTACCAGCAGAAGATGAGGGAGGCCACAGTATAGATGATCCGGCACTCACGTGGTCAAAAATGTAAGGTGCACTTATTTTAAAAACAATTTAAAAATATACTGTATATTAATTGACGTTGAGCACATTAATACAGCATTCATTAAATGAATCTTATACAATTGTCTAACATTTTTTCTTTAATAAATGTAAATCAAATTAAAGCTGATCTATCTTCTAAAAATTCATTGACAGCAAAATATTTCTGTGTAAATAATGGAACATGCCAGTGACAGATTTTGTTCTATTTGCAGACCATTCAAGGGTTTGGTAGACGATATTAAACGAAAGGTTCCACATTATCTCACTGACTTTAAGGATGCCTTACATATCCAATGCTTTGCTTCATTTGTCTATGTGTTCCTTGGAACCCTGACACCGAACGTAACATTTGGTGGATTGCTTGGTCAAGCTACTGATCAGTATATGGTGAGTATTTATTTCATATCTTCCAAGAAATAGTTTGTATTCTATTACCTACTGACACTATATTCATACAAGATCATACAACTCTACAATACCATATGATTTGTTATAAATAAACATCATAGATACCAGGATTAAAACTATGTACGCCAGACGTCTACATAAGACTCATTAGTGATGCTCGAATCAAAACAGTTAAAAAAGCTAAATAAGGTACGAAGTTGAAGAGTATTGAGGACCCAAATTACGAAATGTTTCATACTCTTTTACCGTTTTAGATCTGTTTCAAATGTAATTTTCAAATTCAGCAGTATTCCTTTCATTCAGAACTGACTTAACGAACGTCTGCTCTGTGTGAAACGGACACGGTGTAACTATCAACGTAATTTTGATGTTAAAATAATATTGCTCATTTTAAGAAAAGACCATATCATTAGTCAGTCAACTTTTGTAATATAATTAAATACGACATGACACTATTTATTTCTTGACTGAAATAAACCAATGACAACACAAGAATGAATTATACAGATTAGACCAGTACAAAACGAAAATATTATTTTTTTTTGTTAGGGAGTGATGGAGTGTATATTTGCAGCAGCAGTTACTGGTGTCTTGTTTGCCTTATTTGGCGGTCAACCACTGAATATTCTAGGAAGCACAGGTCCCATGTTAGTGTTAGAAACAATCATCTATAATTTATGCAAGTAAGTTATATCATTATTTAATGAAAATGTGATTTTTATGTAATAGACAAAAAAATGTATGTTAGTTTTTTTATAAAGCATGATTTAACAAATGTCTTTACTTGCAGAGATAACAGTTGTGATTTAAGCATGACTTAACATGTCTTTACTAGCGGAAACACCGGTTGGGATTTTAGCATGATTTACCATGTCTTTACTTGCGGAAATACCGGTTGGGATTTTAGCATTACTTAACATATGTCTTTACTTATGAAAACACCCGTTGGGATTTTAGCATGATTTAACATATGTCTTTACTTGCGGAAATACCGGTTAGAATTTTAGCATAATTTAACACATATCTTTACTTGCAGAGATAATGATTGGGATTTTATGCCGGCGCGATTCTGGGTAGGAATGTGGACTGTGCTATTCATTCTAATTATAGTCATATTCAACCTGAGCTCCTGCGTCAAGTATATCACTCGATTCACAGAAGACAGTTTTGCTACACTGATTGCAGTGATATTTATTGTGGAGGCCTTCAAGAAGTTATTTGAGATAGAAACGAATTATCCTGTTAACTTTAATCCTGATGATCCCATCCCTTTCAACTGTTCATGCAGTAGTACATGTAATGAAAACGTCACAACAGCGCTCGCGGGCCTCGGGTATGGTGCTTTTACCAACTATACGTGCACAGGAACTGATAATTTTACGACCAGCAATATAAGTATCAATTGGGAAGGATTGACACCAGCCGGATGTAGTGAATTTGGGGGAAGCTGGGTTTGCGATCCTAAACAATATTATGGCGATGTGTTTTTCCTGTCCGTTATTCTATTTGCTGGAACTTTTGGAATAACAGTCTTATTGATTTCATTCAAAACTAGCTCACTGTTTCCAAATGTGGTAAGTACATCCAGTTGTTGTGTTTGACTTTTAAAGTAAACTTCTATTATACACCACTCTCTCCATCTAAACTAAAAGTATATAGAATGCCTCTTTTCTCTCTCTCTCTCTCCCTCTCTTACCAAAATCTTTTCAACTCTAGTGATTTCCTGAAATTTTGTCTCAACTCTTCTTACTTGAATTGATATAAATGGAGGTGATGCATAATACACGGAAAATTAAACATAACTCTCATTGAGATCTGATGTTCAATTGCTTGATATGTCCTTGTTAATATTATTTATTGTAGTGGTTTCGGACCAAGCTTCAGGGGTTCAGTTCATTTTTTATTTCCTTCAACATTTACATCATACACTTATCTGAATGTGTATATCAATAAATACGTGAACAATAAAAGAATAATAATGCTATGAACATTAGTTGAATACAAACGAAGCGAACCCGTAATAACTTTAATTGACATGTTTTTCTCAGAAAATTAGAAACAAGTTAACCAGAACTGAATTATAATCCATATTAATATTTTATCAAGTTGAGTAAAAGTTTTACATAGGTGACATTTCATTGTAGATTCGTCAAAGAGTTAGTGACTTCAGTGTGTTGATTGCCATTGTTTCCATGGTGTTGCTCGATTATTTCCTGGGTCTCCCGACACCAAAACTAACTGTACCAAGCGAATTCAAGGTATGTTTATGTGTTTAAATAAAATCGTTGCAAAACAAATGAACAATCTTTTTCTGTAATGCACCCTGAAGATTAAATGGTATAAAAGAGGAGAAAGATACAAAAGTGATAACCAAAATTCATAAGTCGAAGAGAAGCGAGAAACGACGAAAAGACATACAGCAGCCTACAATACACTACATTAATAAATTTAAGAATTAGAAACACGAACCCAACAAAAAAACCTGGGGAGAATCTCGAGTGTTCGGAAAGAAACTAAGATCCTTTGCTTCATGTGTCATCCGTCGTGTTGTAGGTGGCAAGTACAGATTCTGTGATAAGTGTTATTGGGTGATGTCACAATCAACATAGTCGATCCGTGTACAATCTTCCTCGTGGCAGGTCAATTTGTACCTTATGAGCTAAATTCAATAAAAGGCAAGTCGAACGGAAGTATATATAAATACAAAAACACACAAAACCCAATAAGCAGCACAACAATAACTTTGTAGGCACTAGACTATTATGAAAAGACAGTCCTCTTTACTCTTACAAAATCAGTTAAATGTTGCATCGATTGACAAGTCTAAGAGCTAAATAGTTTATCTCATGGCAAACAATACAAACAAACCAAAAGCTCCAAACAGAGCCTTTTCTACATCATTAAGACCAACTGATATTATTACAGAAAATTGGAAACATCTAGAAAGTTAAATGTGGTCTTCGTTTAACAATCTAAAATTATAAAATGCACAAACTGCAAAAGTACAAAAATGTATAATAATGAATGAAAAATGCTCGCAAATACATTAGTAAATGTCGTTTTACATATATTATTTGTATAGCCAACAAGACCAGGTCGTGGATGGATCGTTAGTCCCTTTAGTGATAAGAACCCGTGGTGGTTGTATTTGGCTGCTAGCGTTCCTGCCGCACTTTCAACAATCTTGGTCTTTTTAGATCAACAAATTACTGCTGTGATTGTCAATAGAAAAGAACATAAATTACAGGTGAGCTCCTGTGTTCAAGATGAATTGAACCGCATTACAAATAACAGGAATTGTTAAAATTTGATTGATGTATACTCAATTACACATAAGTTAACAAATAAATTTAACCTTGGATTTTTGTTGATCTGCTGAATTGGTCCTGAAGGATGCACAAAAAAAAATTGATAAAAGTAATGTTTATGAATTCAATTCAAGCTTATCTGCTCCAATGAAATCGAACTAATATTAATTTATGATAAGATGCACATTTTGTTGTAAATTAAGTTATTTTGTATTTTTTTTTCAGAAAGGGGTTGGTTACCATTTAGATATGTTTATAGTTGCAATTACTGTGGCTATTCATTCATTGCTTGGTCTTCCATGGTATGTAGCTGCCACTGTGTCTGCACTTGCTCATGTCAGAAGTTTACAGAAAGAATCTGAATGTACAGCTCCCGGCGAAAAACCAGTGTTTTTGGGAGTCAGGTAAGAAATCATAACCACATTTTAATTCAACAAGTTCAGTGCTCTCATTGCTTAATGTATTCTTATTTTTACGTTTGAATTTGTACGCAACCACAATAGTTTGATTTTGTATGGAATAACATGTTCAATACAGTACTGTTATATGTCTCAGTTGTATGCCCCAGTGATAGAGAACTGTTATATGTCTCAGTTGTATGCCCCAGTGATAGAGAACTGTTATATGTCTCAGTTCTATGCTCCAGTGATAGAGTACTGTTATATGTCTCAGTTGTATGCCCCAGTGATAGAGAACTGTTATATGTCTCAGTTGTGTGTCCCAGTGATAGAGTAACGTTTTATGTCTCTGTTGTATGCCCCAGTGATAGAGTTATGTTATATGTCTCAGTTGTATGCCTCAGTGATAGAGTAATGTTATATGTCTCTGTTGTATGCCCCAGTGATAGAGTAACGTTTTATGTCTCTGTTGTATGCCCTAGTGATAGAGTAATGCTATATGTCTCTGTTGTATGCCCCAGTGATAGAGTTATGTTATATGTCTCAGTTGTATGCCACAGTGATAGAGTAATGTTATATGTCTCTGTTGTATGCCCCAGTGATAGAGTTATGTTATATGTCTCAGTTGTATGCCACAGTGATAGAGTTATGTTATATGTCTCTGTTGTATGCCCCAGTGATAGAGTTATGTTATATGTCTCAGTTGTATGCCACAGTGATAGAGTAATGTTATATGTCTCTGTTGTATGCCCCAGTGATAGAGTAACGTTTAATGTCTCTGTTGTATGCCCCAGTGATAGAGTTATGTTATATGTCTCTGTTGTATGCCCCAGTGATAGAGTTATGTTATATGTCTCAGTTGTATGCCACAGTGATAGAGTAATGTTATATGTCTCTGTTGTATGCCCCAGTGATAGAGTAACGTTTTATGTCTCTGTTGTATGCCCCAGTGATAGAGTTATGTTATATGTCTCAGTTGTATGCCCCAGTGATAGAGTAACGTTTTATGTCTCTGTTGTATGCCCCAGTGATAGAGTTATGTTATATGTCTCAGTTGTATGCCCCAGTGATAGAGTAATGTTAAATGACTCAGTTGTGTGCCCCAGTGATAGAGTAATGTTATATGTCTCAGTTCTATGCCCCAGTGATAGAGTAATGCTATATGTCTGAGTTGTATGTCCCAGTGATAGAGTAATGCTATATGTCTCAGTTGTATGCCCCAGTGATAGAGTAATGTTAAATGACTCAGTTGTTTGCCCCAGTGATAGAGTAACGTTATATGTCTCAGTTGTATGCCCCAGTGATAGAGTAATGCTATATGTCTCAGTTGTATGCCCCAGTGATAAAGTATTGTTATATGTCTCAGTTGTATGCCCCAGTGATAGAGTTATGTTATATGTCTCAGTTGTATGCCCCAGTGATAGAGTTATGTTATATGTCTCAGTTGTATGCCACAGTGATAGAGTAATGTTATATGTCTCAGTTGTATGTCCCAGTGATAGAGTTATGGTATATGTCTCAGTTGTATGCCCCAGTGATAGAGTAATGTTATATGTCTCAGTTGTATGCTCAAGTGATAGAGTAATGCTATATGTCTCAGTTGTATGCCCCAGTGATAGAGTAATGCTATATGTCTGAGTTGTATGTCCCAGTGATAGAGTTATGGTATATGTCTCAGTTGTATGCCCCAGTGATAGAGTTATGTTATATGTCTCAGTTGTGTGCCCAAGTTATAGAGTAACGTTATATGTCTCAGTTGTATGCCCCAGCGATAGAGTTATGTTATATGTCTCAGTTGTGTGCCCAAGTTATAGAGTAAGTTATATTTCTCAGTTGTGTGTCCCAGTGATAGAGTTATGTTATATGTCTCAGTTGTATGCCCCAGTGATAGAGTAATGTTATATGTCTCAGTTGTGTGTCCCAGTGATAGAGTTATGTTATATGTCTCAGTTGTGTGCCCAAGTTATAGAGTAACGTTATACGTCTCAGTTGTGTGTCCCAGTGATAGAGTAATGTTATATGTCTCAGTTGTATGCCCCAGTGATAGAGTAATGTTATATGTCTCAGTTGTATGCCCCAGCGATAGAGTTATGTTATATGTCTCAGTTGTATGTCCCAGTGATAGAGTAATGTTATATGTCTCAGTTGTATGCCCCAGTGATTGAGTTATGTTATATGTCTCAGTTGTGTGCCAAAGTTATAGAGTAACGTTATATGTCTCAGTTGTGTGTCCCAGTGATAGAGTAATGTTATATGTCTCAGTTGTATGCCACAGTGATAGAGTAATGTTATATGTCTCAGTTGTATGCCCCAGTGATAGAGTTATGTTATATGTCTCAGTTGTATGCCCCAGTGATAGAGTTATGTTATATGTCTCAGTTGTATGCCCAAGTGATAGAGTAATGCTATATGTCTCAGTTGTATGCCCCAGTGATAGAGTAACGTTATATGTCTCAGTTGTATGCCCCAGTGATAGAGTTATGTTATATGTCTCAGTTGTATGCCCCAGTGATAGAGTTATGTTATATGTCTCAGTTGTATGCCCCAGTGATAGAGTAATGCTATATGTCTCAGTTGTATGACCCAGTGATAGAGTAATGCTATATGTCTCAGTTGTATGCCCCAGTGATAGAGTTATGTTATATGTCTCAGTTGTATGTCCCAGTGATAGAGTAATGTTATATGTCTCAGTTGTATGCCACAGTGATAGAGTAATGTTATATATCTCAGTTGTATGCCCCAGTGATAGAGTAATGTTATATGTCTCAGTTGTATGCCCCAGTGATAGAGTTATGTTATATGTCTCAGTTGTGTGTCCCAGTGATAGAGTTATGTTATATGTCTCAGTTGTATGCCCCAGTGATAGAGTTATGTATATATGTCTCAGTTGTATGTCCCAGTGATAGAGTAATGTTATATGTCTCAGTTGTATGCCACAGTGATAGAGTAATGTTATATGTCTCAGTTGTATGCCCCATTGATAGAGTAATTTTATATGTCTCAGTTGTATGCCCCAGTGACAGAGCATTGTTACGAGTCACAATGACATATAATTCAGTTATTCCTGTTTTCTCTTTTTTTATTAACATTTATGTTTTTGCTTTAATAATGTATGACCTCTCCTCTAGACAAATTTCAAAATTCATAACTGCTTCTCCTAATGTCATACATTGACTGTCTTCGTGTTTCCTTTCTATTCATTAAATTATACTCTGAAGATTGTTCATTTGTTTTGAGTCGCTACTAATCAGTTCCATGTATGAGGTACAAAGGTCCTGGGATACACAAAACTATTATGGAACCTATGGTACTACACCATGTACAATATGGAATATGGGATTAGTATGGTTCAGTATCGTATTCTATAAAAATCAAATATGTCCAACAAATGTGAATAAAAAATTTATCAACAGCATAACACCATTCAGTTCAATTCTAACAAAAACACTTCCTGTTTTCTCGATAACTTTTCATTGCACGTTTCATTTTAAAAAATGAGAACAATCATCTCGCATTGTATTGACTCCTTTTTTTATGCCCACCCCCACAGCCAAATGTGTATTACCACAAAAGGCGGATCAAGTTTGAATTTGGGTGGCGTCACTTTTACCGTTCTACAGTTATGCCCCTTTACAAATGGAAAAATTGTTGAATTTTTCGTTTCCGTTCTCTAACTTTAGTTTGCCTCAACCAAATGTTATAAAATTTACATACAATGTTTTTTACCATACAACTCAGATCAAGTTCGAATTTTTGTGGCGTCACTATTACCACACCATTATGTCCTTTTATAACGTTATATGCAAGCGGGGGCATCATCTGTGTCTCATGGACACATTCTCCATTTTTTTTAAAATTTATGTATCGACATCATTATCCTAATATTTGTTTACATTTTTATACAGAGAACAGAGAGTAACAGCTTTATTTATTGGTATACTAAGTGGTTTGGCCGTACTCATCACCAGTGTTCTTAGGGTATGTTTTTGAAAGCCTTTTTCTATCTTTTGGATTTTCTAGAAATATTGTTTTTTTTTTATATAAAATTAGTTTGTTAGGTACAGAAATATGAAATGTTAATCAGTACAACCTTGTTCTAATATAACAAAGAGTGAAAACAACTTATTGATCTAGTTTGATTCTTGAGTTTTACAGTCGAGTGGAGCAAACATTAACTGAAATGATTTTAAGTACTGTTTTACATCAAATTATGAAAATGATTATCGGTAACATTTTGCAATATGGGACTATAGGTTTGTATGCATATAAATATTATTTATTATTATATAACATAAAATATTTCTAAGACTTTTCCTAAATAAATTCGGAACATCCCGTCTAAGAGACTTCAAGAAAGCATCTTTTAATAATGTTTTTTTATTTCGATGTAATTTTGTTGTAGATTATACCAATGCCTGTGTTATATGGGGTCTTCTTTTTCATGGGATTTTCAGCATTGCGCGGACAACAAGTAAGTCTTAATTATATATAAATAAAAACGTATCACACTGATTTCAGTGAATCATAGGTCATTCAGATTTTTTTTCTAAAAGAATAAAAAAACAAGAAACGATTGTAACAGGATGCGGTTACGAAGTCTCCCAAACGAAGCTCCCATAAGTCGTAATTCCCAGTGTCGCCTGACATTGGACAAAGTCCAGTGAAAATTGGTTTGGTCCAGTAAAGTTATATGCATTAGTGATGCATGGGGACTAACCCTGTATATCATTCAAATCATCTTGGCATGACAAACCAGAATATATATGGTTTAGGGGTGGGGATCTCGACCATTTAAAAGATACTAGAACATTGGGGTGGGGGGAACCCCTGGGGACTGATCCTATACATCATTCAAATGCTCGAGACACGACGAACAGGAATATATATGGTTTAGGGTTGGGGATCTCGACCATTTACAAGATATTAGAACATTGTGGGTGGGGGGAACTCCTGGGGACTGACCATATACTTCATTCAATGTTCGAGACAAACCAGAATATATATGGTTAAGGGGTGGGGATCTTGACCACTTAAAAGATATTAGAACTTTCTTAAATGGCAGGGGGTGGGGGTGACCCCTGGGGACTAACCCTGTATTTCATTTGATGTGCTTTATCATGACAATCCAGAATATATATGGTTTAGGGGTGGGGATCTCGACCATTTACAAGATATTAGAATTTTCTCAAATGGCAGGGGGTCGGGATGACCCCTGGGGACTAACCCTGTATATCATTCAAACCAGCTTCGCATGACAAACCAGAATATATATTGTTTAGGGGTGGGGATCTCGACCATTTACAAGATATTAGAACATTGGGGGTGGGGGAACCCCTGGGGACTGACTGTATACGTCATTCAAATGTTCGAGACATGATAAACAGGAATATATATGGTTTAGGGGAGGGGATCTCGACCATTTACAAGATATTAGAACTTTCTCAACTGGCAGGGGGTCGGGATGACCCCTGGGGACTAACCCTGTATATCATTCAAACCATCTTGGTATGACAAACCAGAATATATATGGTTTAGGGGTGGGGATCTTGACCACTTACAAGATATTAGAACTTTCTTAAATGGCAGGGGGTGGGGGTGACCCCTGGGGACTAACCCTGATTATCTTTCAAACCATCTTCGCATGACAAACCAGAATATATATGGTTTAGGGGTGGGGATCTTGACCACTTACAAGATATTAGAACTTTCTTAAATGGCAGGGGTAGGGGCTGACCCCTGGGGACTAACCCTGATTATCATTCAAACCAGAAAATATATGGTTCAGGGGTGGGGATCTCGACCATTTACAAGATATTAGAACTTTCTCAAATGGCAGGGATTCGGGATGACCCCTGGGGACTAACCCTGTATATCATTCAAACCATCTTCGCATGACAAACCAGAATATATATGGTTTAGGGGTGGGGATCTTGGCCACTTGCAAGATATAAGAACTTTCTTAAATGGCAGGGGGTAGGGGTGACCCCTGGGGACTAACCCTGTATTTCATTTGATGTGCTTTATCATGACAAACCAGAATATATATGGTTTAGGGGTGGGGATCTCGACCATTTACAAGATATTAGAACCTTCTCAAATGGCAGGGGGTCGGGATGACCCCTGGGGACTAACCCTGATTGTCATTCAAACCATCTTCGCATGACAAACCAGAAAATATATGGTTTAGGGGTGGGGATCTCGACCATTTACAAGATATTATAACTTTCTCAAATGGCAGGGGGTCGGGATGACCCCTGGGGACTAACCCTGTATATCATTCAAACCAGCTTCGCGTGACAAACCAGAATATATATGGTTTAGGGGTGGGGATCTCGACCATTTACAAGATATTAGAACTTTCTTAAATGGCAGGGGGTGGGGGTGACCCCTGGGGACTAACCCTGTATTTCATTAAATGTGCTTTATCATTTAGAACATTTTCAATTAAAAAGAATGTGTCTATCACAAACGGTTATCAATTTATAATCATTTGAAAATTTTATAGGGTTCTATAGTAAAACCCTCCTTTCTTTTTGCCCCTCAAAGTACCCCTTTATAAACCCCAATGCACAAACAAAACCCTGATTGCACCACTAGACATGTTAGTCCAGCATATTGTGAAACCCTAAGTTAATCTGACAAGCGGTTTTGGAGAACGAGTGCGGACAAGTTCAAATTTAAAAGCGGCGGAAGAGGAAGAAGAAGAAGAAGAAAAAGAAGAATAATAATAAGAAGAACTGAGCAAAACCAATAAGTCTTTCCAAACTTCGTTTGGGAGACTTAATAAAGAGATGTGGTATGATTGCCAATGAGACAACTATCCACCAAAGTTCAAATGATGTGGATGTAAGCAATTATAGGCAACCGTACGGCCTTCAACAATGAGAAAAACCCGTACCGTATGGTCGGCTATAAAAGGCCCCGACATGAAAAATATGAAACATTCAATTGAGAAAACCAACGGCCTTAATTATAACAAACCAATTTACGAAAAACAAAAATGACAGACATGAACCAACGACAACCACTGAACTACTGGCTCCTGACAGGCACATAAAGAATGTGGCGGGGTTAAACATGTTTGTGAGCGCTCAACCCTCCTTCTAACCTGGGACAGTGGTGTAACAGTACAACATAAGAACAAACTATTAAAATCAGTCGAAAGGCTTAACTCATCAGTTGGATACAAATAGAAATACATCTAACAAAAACACAGAGTGGACGTGGACGGGTACTTGTACATCCCAAAAACGAAAAGACACTAAGTACTGATCTGAGAGTACTCGCAGTTACTAACAGCTAGTTCAAAGCCAATGACAACTAATGAAAAAAATCATGTATCTAAGACTAAAATATCAATCAGTACACTTCCAATGGATTTAGTGTAAAGACGTCATTAACAGTCAGAGAAAAACATGACCTTGTGCAATGCCAAACTTAAGTATCGACAGGTTGTAGTACCGTGTTTGTACATATGTGTAATATATAGTATGGTTTTAATTTACTGATAACAAAATCAATATTTATGCCAATAAAAACAATATTCAAAGATTTAATTACAGTGTTGAATAGGTAACCTTTTAGAATAAGTATATTTAAAGGATTGATCAGTTTACCCAGATCGATTCTATATTTCCAGGAAAAGACTGTTTTCTAAATATTCGACTTATAATTGGCCTGTACGCTTTTCTAAATAAATGGCGGGGGGAGTAAATACTCTTATTTCAAGTTCTTTATGACTTTTCGATAAATGGTAAGTGTCAGGAAATTGTTTAGTGTTTAAAGTCTCTGTATTGTATCTTCTTGCAAAATTATAAGGTTATAAATGTGCAGTTTATGTGTGTACCACTACTTAAACTAGGGTGACAACTACCGCACCGCAGGTAAAGTTGTTCTCAGACGGCTTTGGCAATTCTCGTTTTACTCTTTTAATTGATTAGATGTTGATACAAAATACAAACGGTATCATCCTTTTATATTACTACCATAGGGACAGTGCCGTGGCTGATAAATTGTTCAGTACTTTTATATTACTACCATAGGGACAGTGCCGTGGCTGATAAATTGTTCAGTACTTTTCTATTACTACCATAGGGACGGTGCCGCGGCTGGTAAATTGTTCAGTACTTTTATATTACTACCATAGGGAGGGTGCCGTGGCTGATAAATTGTTCAGTACTTTTATATTACTACCATAGTGACAGTGCCGTGGCTGGTAAATTGTTCAGTACTTTCATAATACTACCATAGGGACAGTGCCGTGGCTGGTAAATTGTTCAGTAGTTTTATATTACTACCATAGGGACAGTGCCGCGGCTGGTAAATTGTTCAGTACTTTTATATTACTACCATAGGGACAGTGCCATGGCTGATAAATTGTTCAGTACTTTTATATTACATGTACTACCATAGGGACGGCGCCGCGGCTGGTAAATTGTTCAGTACTTTTATATTACTACCAAAGGGACGGTGCCGTGGCTGGTAAATTGTTCAGTACTTTTATATTACTATCATAGGGACGGTGCCGCGGCTGGTAAATTTTTCAGTACTTTTATATAAGTACCACTGTGACTGTGCCGTGGCTGGTAAATTGTTCAGTACTTTTATATCACTACCTTAGGGACGGTGACGTGGCTGGTAAATTGTTTGAAGTACTTTTATATTACTATCATAGGGACGGTGACGTGGCTGGTAAATTGTTCACTACTTTTATATTACTATCATAGGGACGATGCCATGGCTGGTAAATTGTTCAGTACTTTTATATTACTACTAAAGGGACAGTACCGTGGCTGGTAAATTGTTCAGTACTTTTATATTACTACCATATAGGGACAGTGTCGCGGCTGATAAATTGTTCAGTATATTTATATCACTACCATAGGGTTGTGCCTAGGCTGCTGGTAAATAGTTTAGTACTTTTATATTACTACCATAGGAACGGCGCCGCGGCTGGTAAATTGTTCAGTACTTTTATATTACTACCATAGGGACAGTGCCGCGGCTGGTAAATTATCCAGTCATTTTATATTGCTACAATAGGGACGGCGTCGCGGCTGGATAATTGTTCAGTACTTTTATATTGCTACCATAGGGAACGGTGTCGCTGCTGGTAAATTGTTCAGTACTTTTATATTACTACCATAATGACAGTGCCGCGGTTGGTAAATTATTCAGTCCTTTTATATCGCACGAGTAATTTGAGGTCGGAGCTCCTTGTCTACAAATTCTTTACATGTTGTCATATGTACCGATGTGACGAGCTTAGTTCATGCCAACTGATTTGACAGGTTTACTGCATGGTTTTGCGGAGATTATTCTTATTCCAGATTAGGGGGATTGAGTGGTTCTTCTTCTATTTCAGCTTTCTGTTATTCTTAAATTTATCTACAGATTATTTAGAACCCTATTTTCGCCTCATACTTGTTAGGCTTGTCCCACGCCAGGACGGTACATCTGTAGTCGTGGTTATTTTTGGTTGAATGATAATGCCTTAAATACGATTGTTGATCGTCATTTTAATTTTTACATATGTAAAGTCATAGGTATAAGTCCCAATGGTAGATAGATAAATATCAACATTTTTCATCAGTTTGCTTTTTGAAGGATAGTTGTCTCGCTAGCATTCATACAACATTTCCTTATCTTAAAACTGGTCATTACTATTTGTCATGAAAAGCATTAAATAGACTTATCTTTTTAATGTTAAGTAAGTTGTGTTACAGTTCAGTTGTTTGATAATAGTATAATAGTTAAACTGGTTCTCTTTATCTTGGGGGTCTCATTTGGGGGGGGGTCTGATTTGTCAAATTCCCGCATCGCGCTTATCATTGTAATGTTAAGGCTTGTAATTTCACGTGTCCCGTCCGACTTTTTTTCCCGTTTTCACGCTTAATAATTCGACTTTCACGTTTTCCCGTTTTCACGCTTAATAATTCGACTTTCACGTGTCACGCTTACAAAAAATCGGCCAATTCTGCATCACGCTTAGACCCCAATGAGATCCACTATCTTGTTTTTTGAGTGATGCAACCTATTTGTACCGACTCAAACCTGTCGCATCAATCTGATATTGAAAATAAACAGCATGCATAATAATTTATACTGAAGACATCAAAAGTACAAAATTTGAAAAGAAACAATATTAAATGCAGACAACTGCAGATGAAAGTATTTAAACTATATCATACCATCATAGACGAAGTTGATGTTAATGATCCGTTACTCTTGTAACAGTTAAGTTATCAGTTCATTAATCTTAACTTAATATATGTTTTTAGATCTAGTGTCATCCCTTTCACATCATTTGTTCAATGCCATTAATTTCACATTTAAATCCAATAACGAAATGTACAGTAAAAAGTAAAAAAGAATCATGCAATCTAAAATTTTAATATTCAATACAACCGTTTTTTGTTTCTTTTTAGTTTGTGGATCGTCTGATCTTGTTCCTGCAACCACGTAAATATCAACCAGATGTCCCATACATTCGTCACGTACAATTATGGAGAATTCACATGTTTACCATTATCCAGATAATCTGTTTGGTGCTATTGTGGGTCGTGAAGAGTATAAAAGCTATATCCATTGCATTTCCCCTTCTGGTGAGTTTTATTCAATAAAGTGGGTGAAAATTAAATTTAATATAACTTACCAAGAATAAGTGTTATATTATGTAAACAGATACCAAAGTCTGTATTTTGTCGTTTTGAATGTTCTACAAATCTATGCTGTTTACATGTATAAAAAGAGCCCTCACGTAAATCTATTAAAATATTGTTTACACGCAATCCCGTGTTGTCCAATTTTAGTATTGTGTAATTCCATCGGCATGCTTTACATTCACAGACAAGAAATAATAAGTACTATAATAAATTTTAATAATTACATATTTCATACTTTTTGTAGGTGTTAGCTACTGGAATAGTACGAAAAATGCTGGAGTGTGTTTACACAAATCACGAGCTGAAATATATCGATGATGTTCTTCCTGGAAGTGAAAAGAAGTCTCACAACGAGGTACATATATAGAAACACAATAATGTCCATGGTTAAACTATACACGTGTTGTAAAACATCTTCCATTATTATTTGTATATATATATATATATAATAAGTCTAAATTGATAACAACGTTCAAACCTATGATTTCGTTGGATAACAACCGCAATTTTTATACGTGTGCATGCAAAACAAATTTCTTGTTAGAGGGGTCTAAATACAGCACAAACAACATTTTCCAAAAGACCAAAAGAGTGAAAAAGTATATTTTAACAAAACGCATTTGACTATATATATATATATATATATATATATATATATATATATATATGTTAGATCAGAAGCAGCATTGAAGATTAGACAAGACACAACTATTATAAAACAATATATGGAAAGATAAGATACGCATGACAGTTCACAAAACAATGACCAGAAACGTCATTAAACAATGAGACTGTAAATTTACCAGAAACACCATTTAATACTGGCCAATGTAAAATAAGCAGTAATTAAGGTTCTTAAATAATGACGAGTCTTGTGTAAGAGGGGCATCTGCCATTCTAAGTAATATGCCTCATATCTTTGATGAAGACTATTACAGAATGGTTACAGTTACTGTAAGCTAGTTGAAAGATGTATTGATTTGTAATACAGAAACCATAGCTTTAATAAATCTGCTGTTATTATTTAAATACTGTATTATTTCTTGTACTTTTTTAAAGGACAACGAGAAAATAGATGTTCCATATAAAACCTTTAGCAGCATCGATTCCGTCAGCACAATAGTAGAGGGCAAAGAAAACGGTATTAAACCGAGCTTTTATGTTGATGAGGAATGTGACCTGAAACAGAGGACAAAAGCTCAAGGAAACACAAAACTTTGAAATATGACATTCTAACTTAGAATATCAAAGAAATGCCAAACTTTTAAATGTGACATTCCATGTTGAAATATTAGAAAAGTTTGATATTTATAATTACAGAGTCTCTGAGAAAACTGAAACTTTTCTTTTTCATAAACCTGAAATGAATTCCTTATACCAACTGTTCTCATACTTTTAGATCTAAATGTGAAACATTGTATCGTGGATAAAATGTAACCTAAAACGTACAATACGTCATGTGGATTTGTAAGTTTTTATGTCAATGAATTAAAGTAAATGTACTTTTTTTTTAAATGATGATAAAAGCAATGTGATAAACATATATGCAATTTATATATGATTTACAAATATTTAGTATTTTCATTTCTTTATTCATATTTGTCTTCCTTAAAAACTAGTTAGTGCAATTTTTTAACGTCTTTCTTTATAGAATAATTGTATATTGAAGTGGCTATAGAATCTTCTCTTCTATGTACATATTCCGTTTAGTCACACGGTTCATATCAACCTTTTTTTAATATCAGCATATCATCTTAAGATTGTCTAATATTCATACTAGTAGTTTATTATTTTACGGAAATATTTTTTATGTTTAATTAGCTAGTGTTGTTAAACATTTCAGGAAATCCATATATTTTTTTATACATTTTATTATTATGAAATCTCTATTTTTCTTTGTTTTTCTTCATTTTGCTACTTTGGTTATACTTTTAATATATGCTTCTCTAATGTTTGCTGATATTTTGCATATTTTGTGGGTTTATTTAGATTAAATAAAATTCCAAAGTTGCATTATAAAAAAATAAAATTTAAACTAAATAAAAAACAACTTTGATGCATTCATTCAATTGGATAGTGGCATGTGTTTTTTTAAATAGCTTATAGTAAAACTACTTAGCTATGCATGGAAATAATTATAATAAATATGTATGTTCAAATTAAGTAATTGTTCTTGTTCAATGATAGATGGTGCTACTTTAAGGAACGAACTTCGTCTGACAGCAAGTTATGATTTATACCATAGAAATTATGAATGCTAAATTGAAATGTTTTAAAATAATAATAAAAAAATGATAATAAATGGTGTCTGATTTATTATTTTTTATTTTATTGCATTGTTTTACTGCCTCTAATACAAATATCCATCAATAGAAGCAATCAAGATCAAAGATGGCAAACATTGTCATGATCAAAGAGATACACTAGGCACAATTAGAAACCATCACTCAAAATAAGATAAACAGTGGTTTGATTAAACGGCAAACAATCAAAAAATCAATTATATGACATACAAGGACAAATGGAACTTGGAAATTTTAAGATGGTCAACAAACATTTTGACTTTAAAGTTTTGATTTAAGATATATCAATAGGTCAATCAAAAAGACAAACACTGCAATCAACAAAGGGAAATCAAGACACCGACAAACAACGAAAACAGACGAACACATGATTCTGAAAGCAAGGCGCAGAAAACTTAACCTGAATGCAGTAAATCTGACTAATCCCGTTATAAACTCTGGTAAATAGAAAGAGTGACATTCTTTTAATCATGATACTCCTTTACAATTCTAGTAAAATGACATGAATTGAGATAGAATGACGGGGTTGTGACTATAAGCAATCCTCTATACTCTATGGCATGAATACAGGTGTCTTTTAGTTATCTAACATACTGTGTCTTTTTTGTTTCTCTTTAGATAAAAGCTACCTTGGAGCCTTTATCATATGCCATTTGAGAAATAATGTATGATATCTCTGGATAATTGAAGATTTCAACATGTGTAATATAAGTCATATTAACCTGAAAAAAATCGAAATTGAATTTTTTAATGTTTAGCAGTAGACGGATGTTTCCACAGTTTTCATAGACAACGTTTCAATTTCTACTCGTAGGAATTCGGCAGTCCAAGGCCCATATCAGAAATATCGTCATAACAAATAAAATGAGGTTCATTGGTTGTTGTGTAGGAATATATAAAATGAGATGTGATAGGAATGTCAATGAGACAACTATATACCAGAAACCATAGGACGAGGATGTAAACAACTATAGGACAATGTACGTCCTTCAACAATGTGCCAAATCCATACCGTATAGGAAGCTATAAAATGATATACCGTCACAAAATGTGAAACAATTCAAATTAAAAAAAAAAACAATATCAAAAACACTAAACGAAAAACAAATATAGCAGGTGGAAAACAACTACTGAATTACATGCCTCTGACTTGGAACAGGCATATACAAATAATAAGTAAGGCTGAAGTACACCCTGGAATGAGTGACCCATCAAAAGAAGCACAGGCTTAAAAGCACCTCTTTAAAAAAGGAGATTAGGATGGACACAAAGAAGACATTAGAGACAATTTTGCAGACAGAATAAACAACATGGAAGAAAACTCAGTAGAAGAAAACTGGTCTTACCTCAAAACTATCATATTACAACTAACTAAAAGATTGATTCCACAGAAAACTATAGGAAGTAAACAACATGAACCATGGATCTCAACAGATATAGAAAGTAAACATTATGAACCATGGATATCTACACATATAGGAAGTAGACAACATGAACCATGGATCTCTACACATATAGGAAGTAAACAACATGAACCATGGGTCTCTACAGATATAGAAAGTAAACATTATGAACCATGGATCTCTACACATATAGGAAGTAAACACGAACCATGGATCTCTAACATATAGGAAGTAAACAACATGAACCATGGATCTCTACACATACTAGTATAGGAAGTAAACAACATGAACCATGAATGCACCCACCTAACACACGGCTAAATTATATATCATTCGAAAGCTAAACGTCTGTACTATCTGTTTTGCCCGGTCGTAAAAAATTCGTACGGTGCAATTTCCGTAAAATCAAGATCAAAGGTCAAGGTCGAATAAGTGCATATTTCCCAAGATGTCAGCTTGATTGCATATTCTGACTTCTATATAATAAGTTCATGTATGCAAACAATTTAAACTTTTAGCAGAGAGATTAACAGTCATTTATCAAACGCATTTTTAAATATTTAAAGCGTGTTTTTGATAGACAGCACATGTTTCCTGAAATTCGAGTAAAAGTTAACAAAATGAATGAAAACCATTTTTTTTGTTTCTGATGCAATTGCTAATTACTCAGAACTAAGTGAAATCCTGTAATAAGTATTAAAGAAGTTTTTGACATCATCAATTTCCTATAATTATGCTTACTTCTAATCAAACAGCAAATCATAACAACTCATACAGTTGCCAAAAATACCGCCATCTGCGGAAACACAGCTTTTAAGCACTTCTTCCTTTTTAAACATTGTATGTGGTCAATGTAAGATTGGAGAAACAAATTCTTAAGAATGTCAAAAATTTAAAGTAAAAAAATATATGCGAGCATCATACTATTGCTTGAAATTAAGGGGACGAAACTGCGACATTGCAATGTGCATTGTAACTGCCAGACTGAAATAAACATCTTTCGACTTTTCTGATTGTTTGATTTGTAATTTCATTAATAAATATTGATGTAGTGAAAAGACCTTTTATTTATATAATGTCAACCACAAAAAAGAAATAGAAAATATATAAAATAATAAATAAAAAATAAATTAATGAAAATTGATAATTGAAATTTCAAAGAATTCAAATACCAGAGTACACATTAGCAAAGTTGTCTTCTTGGTCGCTTAAATTGCATTGTTCGTTGTTTAAATGCATAAATTCATCGAAAAATAATAACTTTAATGAAAAAATTCCATTACAAATAGACTTCCTGAATAGCTTGAATAACTTGTTCCTTTATTCACACGAGGCTAACTTAATGCAAGAGCTTCTTATGACGAATGAAAAGAAGCAACCATTATCTTTAAACTTCACTTTCTACTATATAGATGATGTCCTCTCACTGAATAATGAGTTTGAATGTCCCTTTGATATCTTTCGCTCTCTTTTAGTAATGAAAAGTTTAAAAAATTGTGGTAAAATGTATCATGATAACGAATTGGTTATATATATCACCGTCTTCAAATTAACTTATTTTCGCGGGTATTTGTCTTATTGCGTTTAATCTCCTGTATTTTACTGTAAGGCGATTTTCATTACTGCAACCAATGAATTGTACTATTTAAATATACAATTCCTTGCTGCAACTTAATGTCTTTAAAGTAAAATGATACCAAAGGGACAATCTCAAACCATGAATCAAAGAAACTTAGATAAAACCATGAACAAAATAAAATAAAAGTCCAACAGACGAATAACAGTCCACAAAACACAGCACAGCATGAAAACGAACACTACCTAAAACAGCGAATGATATGAGGCCAGGAAGAGTATTCAATCTTTCATTTATTTGATAACACAACTACTGATAATGTTTTACATACACAATTACTTGCATTTGTGTTTTAAAAGCTTTTGTTGAAAACACTCAAAACAGCTTTCATTCGAATATTGAACCTATTCATTCGAATAATTAACGTGATTAAACTTCTTAACACATTTAACATGTCTAATACGTTTTTAAACAAAACAAAAAGCAGCAGCATTATATCTAGTTCGTTTATATTACGCGAGAAAGACAACCAAGTGTTTCCAAACGATGGTTACTTATTTCAATGTCGAAAATCAAAATATTTTTACCTCAATTAGCTCGTACATTTCTTTTCGAACTTTAAATACCTCTTCGTTTATTATGGAAAATTATTCTCCTCCCTGATATTGACAATTAGCGATGTGCTATCTAAACATAGAAAAACAAAATGATCGCTATTCGCAGATGGCAGATGTTTGGGCAACTGCAAACACTTAAATAGAAGGCTGTTTCATGAACAATAGTTAATAAATACATCTTAATATTATAACAAAAATAATCCTTGAACTAAAAACCATTATGATACATTTATTTAATGTTTGAGCATACAAATATCGATCCCCCAAGATAAATTTTGCTTTTAGAGCATTTTTTTCATTTTTGTAGGATTTGTTAAGAATTTCAATTTTTGGAAAATATTGCGCAACTTACCTATTAATTTTTGTTTGATTTGGAATTAATGTATCATGTTATATAAGGTTCATATGATCTGCTGGAAAATATTACCGTACAAATACTTGAAAATGGCGAAAGTTTTTGTTTAATTATCGCAAAAATTTATCTTGACCTTTGACCTTGATCTAACAAAAAAAAATCAACAGTACGATTTGTTTACGACCGGGCAAAGCAGAAAGTACGGATAATAAGCTTTCGAATGATATATAATACAGCCGTGTGTTAGGTAGGTGCATTAAAGTCCTTAACTAAGAGGCTTTTTGAAAATGTCACTCGCCTATAAAATGCATTTGAATTTTATTTATCTAGGGCATGCTATGCCTTAATATGTTTCAAGATGCACAGGTTAGTCTGTACTCAGCCTGAGTAAATTTTGAGGTGAAAACGCAGCTATTTTTGCAAAAAGGTCCACATGAACCTTAATTAATGCGTCTATTTAGTTGAATGACATCGTAATGCAACCACCTAACACGCGGCTATATGATATACTAGTAGCATTATAAAGCATATCGCATGGACTGTATTTTTTGTTTGGTCTTCAAACTGATATGCAGACGGTGTAATTGCTGTCAATCTAGAGTCAAAGTTCAAGGATTAACAGTTTTTAATAGTTTCTTTTGTTTGCAAAATTTCGGTAGAATTATATGTTCTCTCAAACCTGAACAATAAAAAGGTAAGTGAAAAACATGGGAAACTGGAACCAATCCCTAAACGTTTAAAAACATAAAGGATGTATATCTTTGGAATAAATAATGCCCTTTACATAAATTTAGGCAAAAATGGTCAGATTGATTGAAAGCCAGAATATGGCTTTATGGAACAATAATATTGTTAATCACTTCAAACATTGTTTTACAATAAATGGTATATTTTTTTATCACCATTAAATGTCTTTTTTTGTCATTTTTTTTTACTGCATGGAGTTACATCGACTTTGAGCCTTTGTTTTATATATTCAAGTAGCAATGATTTCACTATGTTTACGATGCATGTTAGTCAATAAAAAATACAAATCTTTATATAAATATTATTATTTTATCATCTGTAAAGC